CAAACATCACTTGGTCACTTCCTCAGGGAAGCCTTCCATGACCTCCTCAGACACACATAGCATTGATTCTAATACATATAGTTGGGTTTTTTTTAAGTTGTATTTATTTAAGTAATCTCTACTTAACCCAATGTGGGGCTCTAACTCATGACCCCAAGATCAAGAGTCACATGCTTTTTTGCCTGAGCCAGCCACTATAGATAGTTATTTGATGATTATCTGTCGCCTCTACCAGACCATAGGCTCTCACAAGACTGGGATTTTTGTCTGTTTTGTTCCTAGCTGGATCCCTGTTGCCTAGAGCAGTGCCTAGCACATAGTAGATGCTCAGTATTTTTTTTTTAATATTTATTATTTTTTTTTAAGAGAGAGAGAACACACCAGCGGAAGGGGCAGAGGGAGAAGAAGAGAGAATCTCAAGCAGACTCCACACTAAGCTTGGAGCTCAATGCTGGCTCCATCTCCCACCCTGAGATCACAGACTGAGGTCAAAACCAAGAGTCTGACACTTAACCGACTGTGCCACCCAGGCATCCCAATGCTCAGTAAGTATTTAGCAAATGACTGCATGGATGGAATTAAATGAATATGGAGTACTCACTCTGTCTCCTGGTTTTCTTCCTGTCCAGTACTCTATGCTGTTCTACACTCCCAGAGGCTATGACAGGCAAGGTCCTCAAACATCCTGGATGCAAACAATGTAGTGGCTGAATGCAAGGGTCTAGATTCAGACCCACATGGTTCTGAACCTCAACTTTGACACTTCCCAGGCATGTGACCTCAGGCAGGGCATTTCCTTTCTCTGAGCTTCAATTTCCGCACTGTCAAATGCAGTTAAAGAGTACGTGGGCAGGCGTCTGGCTGGCTCAGTCAGTAGAGCATATGCCTCTTGACCTCCAGGGCATGAGTTCAAGCCCCATATTGGATGCAGAGTTTACTTTGAAAGAAAGAAAAAGTACACGAGCAAATGCATATAATCATTAATTATGACAATACTAAACACTAACCATTTTTTCTAAGCACCCCATATGAATTTAATCCTCCAAATAATGAAGTGGAATCTGGGTTTTTAAAAAACTGTCCTCATTTACAGACGGGGAAACTGAAGCATTGAGAATCTAAACCATTCACACACAATACTGAGAAGAGACCTGGGACTGGAACCTACCTCTGCCGTTTCCCAAACCACAGGTGAAACCAGTACCCTAAACTGCCAGCCAATGAGGAGATGTCTCTTTGGAGATGTGTCATGGAAGTCTGGCAAGCCCACCTACGTACACACCTCTGAATGTATGCATTGCTGCATACTTCCTTCTGTGCATCTCTCCTGGGGAACGGGGCTGCCTGTGGACTCTGGGCGGGCCAGCTGGGTGTGAAGGTCTGGTTGTGAATGGGCTCTGAGCTTCATGGACCTGTGTGCATCCATCTGGGCATGTGCTCCCCTCCGCCCATGCAGGCTTCCCTGGGTACAGAGGCAGGTCCATCAGGGAGAATGAAGAATTACTGAGGGTCGGATTCAAGATCAACCTGGGAGGCATTTCTGGGGTATTCTACAGTGTGACAATGACTGCAAATGTATATATAGGTAAGTAGCAACATGTGGGGAGGGAGGTGGAATCTAGTGAAAGGGAGGGAACTTGTCTTAAAGCTGCCTTGGCAGAAGAAAGTAATTTTTTACTTAGTGTATTTATATGAGTGTCACTGGGGTGGGGGGGTAGCCCTAAAGAAGACTGAGGGGCCTCCCAACCACCCCTGCGGGTTGCTGCTGTGACTCTGTGGATCTGGATCTTCTCCAAGGGATTATCCTCTATCGACCTCGGTTTCCTCCTCTGTGAAATGGGAATAGCATAATTGTACCGAACTAATAGAGCCAAAGTGGAGATTAAATGAGAAAATCCTTTCAAAGCACTTAGCTCCGTGCCCAGATCACAGTCAGGGGCAATTATCATTAACCGCTATTAATATGGCAGTAACTCTTACTTGCTGCTTTTGAGAAAGACTCATTAAGCACCTACTTGGTGCGAATGCTTTACCTACATTGCCTGGTTTTTCACACGTCTGGATCGCTTCGGAAACAGGTTTATTGTCTATATTTTTTGGATGAGGAAACTGAACCTCAAGAGCAAAGAGCGCAAGGTCACACAGGCAGGGGCCGGGCAAGGCAGGATCCAACCCCGGGTCCCTGCTATACCTCTCGCGGGGCTGAGATTCTCCAAACCCGCTAATTCTGAGGCTCCGCCTCCCCTCCCACTTCCAGCCCTCAGAGCTCCCCAGATGGGAGGACTCCAAGTCCTGGGTCCTGTGAAGGAAGGGCCCCGGGAGGAGTGGGCCGGGAGGGATGGATTCCTAGATGTGAGAATGGAGGGGGTGGGAGCTCAGTACCCTGGGTTCCGGGAGGAGAAGTGACTGGGGTCCCAGACCTTTCCATCTGAGAGAAGAGGGGCTGGGGGCCGGGACCCCTGGATCCTGGGGGAGCGGAGGGTCATGTTCCTCCATAACTGGATCTTCCACTGTGTAAGAGAGCTGGGTCTCGTACGCCTCTCCCCCGTTCCTCGCTGCCGCCGCGCGATTTCGGCTTTCAAGTCGCAGGTTCAGAGGGGAGGAAGGAGGGGGTGCAAGGGGAGGAGCCGCGGACCTGCGCCAGGGGCGGGGGGAGGAGCCGAGCGGGCACCGCGGCGGGCGCGCGGGGCTGCGGCGGCGGCGGCTCAGGGTGAGTCGGCTCCTCCCCCCTCCCCCTGCCCCAGCCCCCGCCCCGGCCGATCCTGGGGGGCGGCCCCAGCGCGTGGGGGCGGGGGTAGGTGCAGAGGCACGCGGATCTCCTGCCCGAGAGTGCGGGTGCTGCAGCGCTCGCTGGCCGCCCCGGGGGAGGGGCACTTGGCCCTAGAAAGGGGGGTCCCGAAACACCTAGGTGTACCCCAACCTCGCCCACCGATCCCCCGGGCGTGGGGATCGTTTACCTACTCCATGGCTCCTGAAGACTTAAGACTCCGCAACCTCTCGAGGTCCAGGGCATCATTCCTCCCCCCTGCAGCGCCTTGGGACCCCGGTGTCTCATAACCCCCCCCCCTCCAAAAAAATTCCCATCCTCTCTGCAGCCGGGAGAGGCATTAAGGACTTCAACTCCCAGCAGCCCATGCAGCGCCGGGTCTGTGAAGTCTTAGCCGCGCTAGCGCAAGGCCTGCTGGGAATTGTAGTGTCTAGGCTCAGCGGGAGCTGGGGCCCGGGAGGTGGGAGGGGGTGGCTGGACCTCCCGGGGGTCGCCTGGGGTCGAGCAGCCAGTCCGAGTAGGACAAGACGAGAGGCTCGGACTGAGCTTTTTCTCCTGGCCGCGGCCTCCAGATCCCGCTCCTCTTCCCACCACCTGGCGCGTGGGGACGGGTCCGCAGCCCCTTGTCCGCCCTACAACCCCCATGGGCTGCCGCCAGCCGCCGCCTCGGCTGCCACCCAGGACACGGCAGGGATAAGCTCAGGTGAGTCTAACCATGCCTGTGTCGGAGTCCTGGCCTTCTGCAATACCCCCACGACACCTGTCCATCTGTGAGCTCTGGTCTGTCCGTCCCTAATTTCTCCCTGCACTCTCCTTCCAGTCCATCTCTGATGTCTGGCTCCAGACCATGTGTGGCTAATTCCCCTTCTCCCCACATCCACCTCTTTCTCCCAGTCCTCTCTCTTTTATGCCCCCACCCCCATCCAACCTTCCTTCTGCACCCATGTCTCTCTGCCCAGCCCTCCTTTGTATCTTTTTGCCCATCTGTGGTCTCTGGCCATTGTCTGTCCATCTGTCCTTTATTTCTGCATCCCATCCATTCTTCCAACCACTGTTTCCCTTTCAAAGATATTTCTGTCCTGGCACTTATACAGTCCCTCTGTCCGCCCATCTCTCACACTCCCATAAATTACACACTAGTCCATTATTTATGGCTTAGTCCATCCCAAATCTCAATCCTCGACTTTTCCTCTGTCTGTCTGCTTATCTGTCCCTCTGTTCTGGGCCCCAGTTTGCCCTTCCCAGTATCTCTGTCTCCCCTCCCCTTATCTCTCCCTCTCTCAACTTGGTCCCTATCTCTGCACCCTGCATCTTCTATCCCACCCCAGCCACCACCACACTCTTATCTCTCTAACCCCATCCTTCCCTCTGTCTTGGTGCTCACTCTTTCTACCTGGATCTGGCCTCCTTCCCGTTCCTCGAACCTGCCAAGCTGTTCCCGCTGCTTAGGATGCTTTTCCCCACTCCAGCCCCACCGCCCACTGGCTGTGGCCAGCCCCATCTCGTCCTTCAGGTCTCAGAGAGCTCCCCAGCTGCCCACCTCCTGGTCCTTTTGTGACATTTCCTCCAACTATTTCTTTCAGAGCACCTCTCACAGTGTGAACATGTCTTGTTTGTTTATGTGTTTGTTGACTTGTTTATTCCATGTCTCCTCTCACTGGATTGTAACACCAGGAAGTTGGGAAATGTGTGGGGCTCATTCTCTGCTGGATCTGCGGCAGCTGGCATCGTGCCTGGCATGTAGTTGGTGCTCAATGAATATTTGTCTAATGCATGATGAACAGCTGTCCCTTCATCTGCCTGTGCCTAAATTCTGTCCTTTGTCTGTGCACCCCTAATCTCTGTCTCCTTGTCTGTCTATCCCTTTATTGTGCATCCTTAATCTCTGCCCCTTGACTGGCCTTCCTCATCTCTTTCTCCTTGTCCATTTGTCCCTATTCTCTGTTCTCTTGTCCATTCATGCTGATCTCTGTCCCCTAGTTTGTCCAACCCGTTACTGTCTTCTTGCCTGCACCCCAAATTTCAGTCCTCCTGTATCTGCCCCTAATTTCTTTCTCCTTGTCTATCCCTCCCTAATCTACTTCCCCTTGTCCATCTACTCCCAATCTCTGTCCCCTAGCCCATCCTTCCTTTTCTCTTTTTCTCTTCTATCCCTTATCCACCTCTCTTTCAATCCCATTCCCCATCTGCACCCTTGTCTGGCCCCTTCCAAGCACAGAACCCACCGGCTACCATGTCAGGAGACTACGAGGATGACCTCTGCCGGCGGGCACTCATCCTGGTCTCAGACCTCTGTGCGCGGGTCCGAGATGCCGACACCAGTGACAGGTGCCAGGAGTTCAACGACCTGCGAATTCGAGGCTATCCCCGGGGCCCAGATGCAGGTCAGCACCACCCCCCAGCTGTCTCGGCCAGCCCCCTGTGTCCCCTATACTCAGTATTTTCAGAGATTCAGAGATTCAGAGCAGACTTGCTTAGCTTTCTGTCCCCTAGGTGGCTGTGGCCACTCCCTCTTAGAGTCTCACCTCCATCCTGCCTGCTGCTGGTCCCCCAAAACTTTGATCTAAGGAGAAGGAGCTGGGTGGGCCATATGACCCCTGACCTTTTGGGTTTGGTCCTGTGAGCCTCCTGCCCACTGCCCCTCCCCCCAGCCACATACATATCCCCTTCACATATCTTTTGTGTATCTTGCATAGTGCTTTAAAAGCTCAGGCTCTTTTTTTTTTTTTTTTTTTTTTTTTATTTATTTGAGAGAAAGAGAAAAAACAAGCACAAGCTGGCGGGGGGAGGTGCGGAGGGAGAGGGGGAATCTCAAGCAGACTCCATGCTGAGCATGGAGCCTAACACAGGGCTCGATCCCTCAACCCTGAGATCATGACCTGAGCTGAAACTAAGAGTCAGACGTTTAACCGACTGAGCCACCCAGGTGTCCCAAAGCTCAGGCTCTTGAGTCAGGCTGTCTGACTTGTCTGGGTTCAAATCCCACCACCCCTACTTACTAGTGGATGACTTTAGGCAATTAACACTTCTTCTGTGCCTCAGTTTCCTCTTGAAGATGGGGATAATAAAAGTGGCTGCCTCCTGGGGCAGCTGAGAGACTCAAATGATATAACACATGTGAAGTGCTTAAAACAAGTTGGGCACGCAGTGGTCATTCAATAAATGCTGGAATGTACTTATTGAACACCAGCTGTGTACCAGGCAGTGTGCAAGATCCTTGGCATATTTCATCAACCACTCACAACAACCCTCTGTGGTATCTATAATCCCCGTTTTCGATGGGGGAAAAAGACTCTGAAGGGTAAAGTGACTTGCCCAAGGTCACCCATTTAGGAAGCAGCAGGGTTCTGAGAGCAAGGATCTATTATGAGTGCTCTTGTCCAGACGAGGAACCCTGAAGAAGCACGTGCTGCGAGGTTATAATGACAAATCACACTTGCTGAGTGCAGGGCAGGGCTCAGCACCTTGCGTGCGGGAGGTGACAAGGATGAGAAATGAGGTCCAGAGAGCTGCAGTTGCTTGCTCAGAGACTCACAACCTATAAGCAAAAGGGCCAGATTTGACCCCAGGAAGTCTAGTATACTACCACAATTTGGGGGTCCCCAAGCCCACCCTCAGTTTCAATGATGCCCTAGAAGGACTCACAGAAAAGCTGTTCTACTCACAGTTACATTTTATTACAGCAAAAGGATGGAAGTTAAAATCAGCAAAGGAAAAGACACATAGAATAGGGTCCAGGAGAGACCAGGTGTGAGCTTCCAGTCTCAGTCACATAGACATGGCTTACTGTCCGTGGGGCTGAACTTCACCTCCAGCCCCTCCAGAGGCCAAGTCCTTTCTTAGTTCTTCCTATGTTCAGGAGGCTGGAAAGCCCTTGCTCTGCTCTTTAGCACGTCCCACCCGGCCCCTTCGCTGATCTGCTGTGGGACTCTATACAGGAAACTTTGTATCTATTGACCTCAGTTTCCTTTTGTGGAAAACAGGCATACTAATGTTGCCAACCTCCTAGGGTGCCTGTCAGGCCTAAGTAAGCTAATGCCAATAAAGTGCTTAGGGGTCTGCAACATAGTAACTACTCAGTAAATGTCTACCTTTATATTCTGCTATGCCATTTACCTCCTGCACTCCTCAGTACCATAGTTGAGAGGCAGGACTGGTTTTTCCTATTTGGCAAATGGGGAATGTAAGGCTCAGAGTGCTTAAGATACGTTCCCAAGGCCACACAGCAAACAGAGATTTGAACCCTGACCTGCCTAACTGCCTCATGCAGCCTCCTCTCTCCTTGATCATCTCTGAGCATTTTGGAGGACGTTGGTTATACCTCAGATGGTGTGTCCTCTTAAGGAGAGGCAGCATGGGCTAGTGATAAAGAATCACATCTGAAGACAGACTGCTCTTTCAAATCCCAGATCTGTCACTTACTACCTGTGCAGCATAATACAAGTCACTCAGCCTGTCTGTGCCTCAGTTTCCTTATCTTTAGAATGGTTATATAGAGATACCGACCTGTGGGGTCCTGGAGTTTAAGTAATGTATGTAAAGTGCTTAGGACAATGCATGGCAAATGCTAGAGGCTAGCTCTTTGGGGACAGCAGTGGGAGGATAAACTGTGACCCCATCCTGACCCCTGACCTTTGTCCTCACTCTCTCCAGACATCTCCGTGAGCCTGCTGTCGGTCATCGTGACATTCTGTGGCATTGTCCTTCTGGGCGTCTCCCTCTTCGTGTCCTGGAAATTGTGCTGGGTGCCCTGGCGGGACAAGGGAGGCTCAGCAGTGGGCGGGGGCCCCCTGCGCAAAGACCTAGGCCCTGGGGTTGGGCTGGCAGGCCTGGTAGGTGGTGGTGGGCACCACCTGGGGGCTGGCCTGGGTGGCCATCCTCTGCTGGGGGGTCCACACCACCATGCCCACACTGCCCACCATCCGCCCTTCGCTGAGCTGCTGGAGCCAGGCAGCCTGGGGGGCTCTGACCCCCCTGAGCCCTCCTACTTGGACATGGACTCCTACCCAGAGGCTGCAGCAGCTGCTGTGGCCGCTGGGGTCAAACCGAGCCAGACATCTCCTGAACTGCCCTCTGAGGGAGGTGCAGGCTCTGGGCTGCTCCTGCTGCCCCCCAGTGGTGGGGGCTTGCCCAGTGCCCAGTCGCATCAGCAGGTCACAAGCCTGGCACCCATCACCAGGTGAGACAGGCTACTGGGCTGGGGGTCCACTCTGAACTTCTGTTCCTCCTCTGTGTCTCTTTCCCAGATATGGTTCTTCTGAGCCCTGCAAGAGGAGAGGCCTAGAGGTCTGGAGTCCTGAGTCCTGGGGCAGGAAGGGGCTTGGGGTGTGGACTCCTAGGTCCTGGGGATAGAGGAGGTTAGGGCTCTAGACTTCAGGATCTAAGGGAGGAGGAACCTAGAGATCTGTACTCAGATTCAGAGGGTATAGGACTCCGGGGTCAGGAAGGTGGAGGAGAATGATTAGACTCCCAAGGCCCTGAGACAGAAAGCAATTCATCTGTTTCAGCCTAAGCCAGGGGTGGTGGGGCCTGGAGCTCATTTGTTCTGTATTCCTCATTCTGCACATGTATATCGAGCACCTAATATGAACCAGATCTGAGATGGGTGTTGGAAAAACAGAAGTGAGCATGGCAAATAGACTCTGCCCTCATGCCACTTACAATCCAAGGGAAGTGGGTCCCCAGAGAGGCTGTCCCCACCCACCCAGGCCAGCGCTGCCGGAAAGTGGCTTAGGGGGCCACAGCTGTGGGAGTCTGAGGAGTCGATGACCTGGTCTGGGAAGAGGCTGGGGCCTTCCAGAGGTGGAGGTGTTGTGGCTGAGACCTGCAGAGTGAGGAAGTGTTGGTCAGGCACAGAGGTAGGGGTGTGAGCTGGGCATTCCAGGAGGAGAGAGCGGCCCATGCAAAGGCAAGAGGGGTAGGAGGTCACAGTGCATTGTGGAAATTGCCAGCAGTCACTATGGCCTGAGAGTAAGTGTGAAAAAAGAAAGGTAGAGAGATGTGGCTTAGGATGTGGGCAGGGCCAGACCACATGGGGCCTTGAATGCAGGGCTGAGGGACTGGGACTTTGTCCTGGGGGCACTGGGGAGCCATGGAGGGCTGTGAGCAGGAGGGGCAGGGTTAGTTCTGGGTGTAGAAAGACCTCTCTGTGGCCACACAAGGGAAGGACTAGAGGGACAGACTGGAGGCCAATAGTCCAGGCAGGAGAGGACGAGGCTGAGCTGAGATTATGGGCATGGGGATGAGAGGAGGAGATAAAGAGAGTCAGAGGGCAGAAGAGGTGAGACCTGAGACTGATGGCTGTGGGTGGGTAGGAGGTGGGTGGGTAGGAGGGGTAGGAAGAGGTACAGAAGGCCTCCAGCCTGGCCTGGTGATTGGGTGGATGGTGGGGCTGTCAGAGGATCTAGGAAGAGGAATGGATTTGAGGGAGCCCCTGAGCTTATCTGGGTCTTGTTGAGTGTGAGGGGCCTGGGGCAGCCTCCGGAGAAACTGCCCTCAGAGGGATTGTCTTCGGCCCCAGAAGTTCATGGTAGAAGGTGTTCTCATCCCAGGGTCTGGCCAGGGGCCCAGGGGTTCATGGGAGATGAAGTTTGGGGTCTCTGGGGAGGCCTTTCAAAGGCGGATGGATACACTGGTCTGAGCTCTTTCCCCTCCCCATTATACAGATGGAGAAACTGAGGCTGAGAGGGTATTCCTGACCTGCTCAAAGTCACCCTGGGAGCAAGGAGAGGCCGGGGGATCTGTAGCTGAAGGAGCCTCCCCTACCACATCCCTTTCCACGGCTCAAGCCCTCCCACTTCCTCACCTCTTCTGCCCCTTTCTATGGCTCGAGCCCTCCCACTTCCCCCGTGCCTACCTCTCAGCACACCTGAGGCTGCCGAGCACTGCCCATCACTAGGGGCCCCATCACATGGACTTCACCCCGGGTGTGATGGTCCTTGCAGGAGAGGGCAGATGAGCCGGGACCACGGATGGGGAAATTTGGGAGAGGGGAGGGAAAGGTTTTGAAAGGACAGGAGGTGAGGATGGCTTCAGTGTCTGACCTGCAGATCTAGGGGGAGCACAGGGGAGGAGGAGGGGGTTGGGGAGAAGGTGCTGAGCTGGGCGGGGAATGAGGGGTGTGCGGGGTCTGATAGACTGCTGAGGCTGGGGGCCAATCCAGGCTGGAGCCCAGGAGACAGATATAGCAGATTTAGCAGGCTGCTGATGGGTGTGGAAACCTGGGGTGCAGATGAGCTTGTCCAGAGAAAAGGTGTGTGTGTGAGAGGGGAGAAGGAGCCGGGGTGGCTGAGGGGAGACCTCTGGGCTTCCAGAGTGTCCCCCACACACGTTTGGACAGTGGAGAATGGAGTTGAGAAAGGACAGGCCAGGTGGAGTGATGGTGAGGTGGGAGAGGTGAGACTGGGGTTAAGATAGGTTGGGGGGATTTGAAGAAGGGCAGGTGAAGGTTCAGGAGGTCTGGGTTGTGTGGGGCCCCAGGGGTCCATGAATAAGTTATTCTGGGTCACGCACTTGAAGTCAGGAGGAAGTTGGAAGCTTCTGGAAGTTGATGCATAAGCAGGTCCTAGTTGGAGCTAGCTTAGAGATGGGGATACCCCCCAGTACAGGTGGAGAAACTGAGGCTCAGAGAGTGCAAGTGCCTTGCTCAAGGTCATAGTGAGCAAAAATGCAGATCTGTGGCCATTTGGCTGTGACCCTTGGGAAAGAGGCAGGGAGGAGTCTCTCAGGTCTTCAGATGCTGTCAAAGACCCCAGCCAGTGACCCCACCTTGGTCTTCCCCACTCCCCACAGGTACCCAGCCCTACCCCGGCCCCTCACCCAGCAGACCCTGACCCCCCAGCCGGACCCTGGCAGTGACGAGCGGCCGCCTGCCCTACCCTTACCCTTGCCAGGCGGGGAGGAAAAAGCCAAACTCATCGGGCAGATCAAGCCGGAGCTGTACCAGGGGACTGGACCAGGTGGCCGGCGCGGCGGTGGGGCTCCGGGCTCTGGAGAGGCCGGCGTGGGGGCGCCCTGCGGCCGCATCAGTTTCGCCCTGCGGTACCTCTATGGCTCAGACCAGCTGGTGGTGCGGATCCTGCAGGCCTTGGACCTCCCAGCCAAGGACTCCAACGGCTTCTCCGACCCCTACGTCAAGATCTACCTGCTGCCAGACCGCAAGAAAAAGTTCCAGACCAAGGTCCGGAGTGAGGGTCCTGGACATCCAAGAGGAGGGGGTGGGAGTCGGAACTCCTGGGTCTGAGGGAGGAGGAGCTGGGGGTCTGGACTCCTGGGTCCTTTGGAAGCAGGGTTGATGGGCATGGTGTCTCTCTCCTCCCCTCGCCCATCCCCTCCAGGTGCACAGGAAGACGCTGAACCCTGTGTTCAACGAGACATTCCAGTTCTCAGTGCCCCTGGCTGAGCTGGCCCAGCGCAAACTGCACTTCAGCGTCTATGACTTTGACCGTTTCTCGCGGCACGACCTCATCGGCCAAGTGGTGCTGGACAACCTCCTGGAGCTAGCTGAGCAGCCCCCTGACCGCCCACTATGGAGGGACATCGTGGAGGGCGGCTCGGTCAGTGGCCCCTGCATCCCTCTTCTTGGGGACCCAGGACCGCTCAGTGTTTGACCTCTTTGCCCTTGGACTTCATAACCTTCTAACTTCTTGACCCAGGCTTTTTAAAAATTTATTTTATTGCAAAATATTGCAAACATACAAGCAAAGTGTAGAGATAAGATATAATGGGACCCCATCTCCCGGACACCCTGTCAAATATTGACATCATGCCTGGACCCCAGATCTCCCAACTTCTGACCCCCTTTCACATCTGATGGTAACAGTTGAGAAATATAACAGACACCCCTGTACCCATCAGCCACTTTATCATAACTTCATGCTGTGACCCCAAATTCCTGACCCTCCAACTGTCTGACCCCAGAGTTACCAGCTTTTGTTTTTCTGACTTCCTTCAACTTCCAACCTCCTGGCTTTCCAATTCCCAAGCTTCCTGAACCCCCAACCCCTCTGATCTCTGAACATTTTATGTTTCAAACCCTTGACCTCCAGATCTAATCTCATCCTCTGCTCTCCACCCAGCTCCTGATAGCCTGATCCCCCAAGCATCAGACATACTTGGATCCTCTATATCCTGACATCCCCTGTTCCCCCAGTCACCAGATTGTGCCCAGTAGCCTCCCCCCGCCCCGGCCCCCTTCCTCTTCCATCCAATCGCTCCCCAAGCCTGGCTCCTACGCGCTTGTTGGGGGTCCTGACCCTCTCCCTGCCTCCATCCTGTCTCCTGCTTGTGTGTATCATGTCTCATTCTCTCCACCCCCCTTATTATCACTGGAGGTCTTCACTCATTCATTCATTTATTCATTCATTCATCCCTTAAACAACTGGCTTTTTTGTTTCAGGATCAGGACCCGGGGACCCCAGACAGTCCTTGGGAGCTCCAGGTCTAGGTTGTCACAGTTTGCTGTCAGGGGCAGTGAGTGGGGAGTCCAGGGACCTGGGCTTTGGTCAGTGTGGTTGGGAGGCCAGGGGACCAGATGAGGCTGAAGAGCCGGGCAGGGCGGGTCGGAAGCCCTGGCTAGCTCAGCGCCCCCTTCCAGGTGTCTCTCTGTGTGTGTTGGTGTGGAGGCTCTGTCTCCTCTGTGGCTTTGCTTAAGGTTGGTGTGTCTCCTGCCCTCCCTGTGACCGACTTCTCTCCTCAGTGCCTGTCACACTGTCTGAATCTCTGTCCCTCACCCGGTCTGTGTAGGTTTCTCTGTTTCTCTCCCTCTCTCTCTCTATCTGGGTCTTTGCCCTTCCCCCCACCCCATTCTCGGTCTCTATCACTCTGTTCAGGTCTCTGCACCCTCCACCAAGTCTCTGGTCCCATTTCTCCAGATCTCCTGCACCTTGGGGGCTCTGACACCCCCCCCCCCAGGACTCTGTCTCTCTCCTCTGAGACTCTGTCCCCCTCTCCTCCTGGTCACTGTACTCCTCTCTCTGAAGTCTCTGTTCCTCTTCTCTCTCTCTCTCTCTCTCTCTCTCTCTCTCTCTCTCTCTCTCGGACCAGCGCTATCTCTGGGTCTCTAGGCCCCTCCTCTGGGTTTTCTTTCTTTAGGACTCTATGGGTCTGCCTTTCTAACTGTATCTCTCGGTGTCTTGGTCCCTGTCACAGTCTATTTCTCACTGTGTTCTCTGGCTCTCTCTGGCTCTTTCCTGCTCTCTCCCCACACCCATGCCTCTTTCAATCTTCCCTGCAGAACAAATAGGCTTTGCTGGTGGCAGGCAGCTGCGGCCAGGGAGTTACCAGGTTTAGTCAGATTGTTAAGTGAATCAGCAATCGGAGTCCTGGATATCAGGGAGGAGAGCTGGAGGCTCCAGATGGGAGAGAGAGGGGGTTGGGGTGGAGACCGAGACAGGGCATTGCTGAACCCCTTTCCCCAACTGCAGGAAAAGGCAGATCTTGGGGAGCTCAACTTCTCACTCTGCTACCTCCCCACGGCCGGGCGCCTCACGGTGACCATCATCAAAGCCTCTAACCTCAAAGCGATGGACCTCACCGGCTTCTCAGGTGGGTTCCAGGAGGTGCTGGGATCTGAGAAAGGAGCGTGTGGGGCCCTGGACTCCTGGGCCTGAGGGAGGAAGGTGCCGGGGGCAGGACCCCTGGGTCTGAGGGAGGAGGGGCTGGGGCCCTGATTCTGGGTCTGAGGGAGGAGGGGCTGGAGGTCTGGACTCCTGGGTCTGGGGGAGGAGGGGCTGGGGGTCTGAACTCCTGGGTCTGAGGGAGGAGGGGCTGGGGCCCTGATTCTGGGTCTGAGGGAGGAGGGGCTGGCAGTCTGGACTCCTGGGTCTGAAGGAGGAGGGGCTGGGGCCCTGATTCTGGGCCTGAAGGAGGGGGTGGGGGCCCAGACTCCTGGGTCTGAGGGAGGAGGGGCTGGGGGTCTGGACTCCTGGGCCTGAGGGAGGAGGGGCTGGGGCCCTGATTCTGGGTCTGAGGGAGGAGGGGCTGGAGGTCTGGACTCCTGGGTCTGGGGGAGGAGGGGCTGGGGGTCTGAACTCCTGGGTCTGAGGGAGGAGGGGCTGGGGCCCTGATTCTGGGTCTGAGGGAGGAGGGGCTGGGGGCCTGGACCCCTGGGTCTGAGGGAGGAGGGGCTGGCAGTCTGGACTCCTGGGTCTGAGGAAGGAGGGGCTGGGGCCCTGATTCTGGGCCTGAAGGAGGGGCTGGGGGCCCAGACTCCTGGGTCTGAGGGAGGAGGGGCTGGGGGTCTGGACTCCTGGGCCTGAGGGAGGAGGGGCTGGGGCCCTGATTCTGGGTCTGAGGGAGGAGGGGCTGGGGGCCTGGACTCGTGGGTCTGAGGGAGGAGGTCGAGGTCAGTGCTCTCGATGCCTGCCCCCAGACCCCTACGTAAAGGCCTCTCTGATCAGCGAGGGGCGGCGTCTGAAGAAGCGGAAAACCTCCATCAAGAAGAACACGCTGAACCCCACGTACAACGAGGCGCTCGTGTTCGACGTGGCCCCGGAGAGCGTGGAGAGCGTGGGGCTCAGCATCGCGGTGGTAGACTACGACTGGTGAGGGGCGTGGCCCGGGCGGGGGGGGGTCAGGGGGTGTGCCCGGGCCCGCCCCCTCCCTCCCCGGCCGCTCACCGCCGCTCCCTCCCCCAGCATTGGGCACAACGAGGTGATCGGCGTGTGCCGCGTGGGCCCGGACGCCGCCGACCCCCACGGCCGCGAGCACTGGGCGGAGATGCTGGCCAATCCCCGCAAGCCCGTGGAGCACTGGCATCAGCTGGTGGAGGTGAGCGGGGAGGCCACCCAGTGCCCCTGGCCCTCCATTCCCGCGCTCATGCAGTCATTCACGCGGAGCGTCCGTCTTTATGGGCTGCGGAGTCAGACCGCTTGGGCTGGAATCCCGGCTCTACCAACTTGAGCTGTGTGACTAAGAGCACGTTGCTTAACCTCTCTGTGTCCCCTCAGTTTATTCTGCTGGGTGATGGGCTTGTTAATAGCATCTAAAGTTAGGATAGATGTGAGGATTCAGTGAGTTAATGCAGGATTAAGTGTCTGCCTCTCAGTAAGGGCTCGTCAAGGGGTCAGTTACTCTTGCTATTATTTCCCATGATGCTAAGCCCAAAGTAAAAGGGAAAAACTGAGTGATAAGATGGAGCAGGGTTGGGGGTTTGGGGGGTTTGGGTTTGGTTTGGTTTAAAGCAGGCTGTAATTGAAAATCACTGGATTGTGGTTTACTGGGTGGGGATCAACAATTTTTTCTTCATAAGAAAATGAAGTCAAAACAGAACAGAACAGAAAATTTCACAGGGCAGCACCCATTGTAAGGATCATACCATCTTTTCTTTCTTTCTTTCTTTCTTTCTTTCTTTTTTTTTTTTTTTTTTGTCTTGTGGATTGTGGTCCAAAAGGCTTGGAAGTCTGGGAGTTAGAGGACATCTGGACAAGGGATGGGGGGTGCCCTTTGGCTTAGGGTGTCCTGACGGGCCTCTCAGTGGAGGTGACATTTGAGCAGAAGCCTGGAGATTGAGAAGGAAGGGGCCTAAGTGAAGGTTTTGAGGTTAGGAGAAGCTCGAAGGGAGAGAGCACGGCTAGGCAGCTGGGTGTTTCTCCTAAGCAAGAAGAGACAGGGGCAGGCCCCTGAGCCTGGAGCTGAGAGGGAAGGGGGAAAAGGGCAGATAACAGGAGGCCAGCAGGTCACGTGAGAACAAGGTTGCCATTTTTTTAAAGCTAAAAATCATTTATGATCATCACATCGTCAAGAGAAATTCTCAAATATGGCCATTCTCTCATTTGAAACAAACAAAAAAAGGACAGAAGTAGATTTTGAAGATTCTATCCATGAATTTGCTGTCTTTAAAGCCAAGACAGTAAAATCATACTAAATTCTGTTTAGAGTATAAATAAACATTTAAACTTAATGTACTGTGACTTACAACACACATACTCTTCATTGTTTTCGATATTTTAAAAATAATTTTAAATTTCCAGAAAAAAAATTACCCATAAAAAATACATGAAAATAAGGCTGCTTATTTTTCCCCTTTGTCTCAGGCTCTGATTTGACATGGGACTGACCTCTATTTAAAATTTGATATCTTGCTCATCGTGGATTTTTTTGGATTAAATCTAATTTTTAAAAATATTGCATTGCAATAGTAATTATCTTGAGTGCTGAGTTTGGATACACCTGAAATTTTGCACCCAGGGTGAACTCCTCCCGGACCTGACTGTAGCTCAGCCTCACTTTGGACTTTGCTTCCACGGTGAGGAGGGATTTTAAGCGGCAGAGCACAGAGCTCAAGTGTGAGTTTTGAGAAGACTGTGACTCTATTTAGAGAGACAGATGGCAGCTACTCTCTTCTTCCGCCACTCACTCTTCCCCTAATTTACTCACTCATCCCACAAACTTCTCCAGAAGCTCCCGTGCGCTATGCTCATGCTGGGCAATGCTGGGAGCACAGAGAGGAATGGAACCCTGGCTAAGTGGGGTCCTGACCCTGGCTTTCAGCCAATAGTACCATAGTGAATGGCCCCAGAGGGTCTTTCTACCCCCAGCACTGACCCTGCCCCTTCTCTGCTCACCACCCTCCCCAGCTCCCCAGAGCCTCCAAAATGGAGTCCAAGCTTCTTTGAGGCCCCTCTGAGGTTCTGCCCCATCATCTCTGCAGCCTCATCTCACCTCACATTTCCAGTGACTTTTTCTTTGTGCCTCAGTTTCCCCATCTATAGAATAGGACTGTAATACCACTTGGCTCATCGCTTCAGAGCTGAGTGAAAAAAGAGCGTTGTAAATGATGAAAACAGGTTTGATGTCTTACTATGTTGATTATTAGCGGTTGTCTTGCCTCTGTTCCCCCACGAACCTTCTGGATTTCCTTATTCAGGAAAAGACTCTGTCCAGCTTCACGAAAGGCAGCAAAGGATTGTCAGAGAAAGAGAACTCAGAGTGAGGGGTAAGGAACCCAGACCAGGGGAGGAAGGAGGTGGGGGTCCTGGACTCCTGGGTCCGAGAGAGGAGGGGCTGAGGGCCTGGATTCCTGGGTCAGAGGGAGGAGGGGCTGGGGGTCTGGACTCCTGGGTCTGAGGGAGGAGGGGCTGGGGGCCTGGATTCCTGGGTCTGAGGGAGGAGGGGCTGGGGGTCTGGACTCCTGGGTCTGAGGGAGGAGGGGCTGGGGGTCCTGGACTCCTGGGTCCGAGAGAGGAGGGGCTGGGGGCCTGGATTCCTGGGTCTGAGGGAGGAGGGGCTGGGGGTCTGGACTCCTGGGTCTGAGGGAGGAGGGGCTGGGGGTCTGGACTCCTGGGTCTGAGGGAGGAGGGGCTGGGGGACTGGACTCCTGGGTCCGAGAGAGGAGGGGCTGGGGGCCTGGATTCCTGGGTCTGAGGGAGGAGGGGCTGGGGGACTGGACTCCTGGGTCCGAGAGAGGAGGGGCTGGGGGCCTGGATTCCTGGGTCTGAGGGAGGAGGGGCTGGGGGTCTGGACTCCTGGGTCTGAGGGAGGAGGGGCTGGGGGCCTGGATTCCTGGGTCTGAGGGAGGAGGGGCTGGGGGTCTGGACTCCTGGGTCTGAGGGAGGAGGGGCTGGGGGACTGGACTCCTGGGTCCGAGAGAGGAGGGGCTGGGGGCCTAGATTCCTGGGTCAGAGGGTGGAGTGACAAAGCAAGGGACCAGGTCCCTGGGGTGTCGATGAAGGTACAGCAGGCCACAGGCCTGCTCTCTGCCATCACCGACATCTCCTCCCTGCCCTGTCTTGCAGGTCTGGCCTAGGCCCAGGATCGGACCAGGCCCCCTCAGGACCCCATCCCTTCCTGCCCGGACTGTGAATTCATCTCCCTGAAGCCATAACGTCCGAGCTTCGTGGTGCGGGGCAGCGCTGGGCCTGCCCGTCCTTCTACCCCGCTTGGCGTGAGGGTGGGAGGCAGGCGGGCCCGGCTCCCTGTTTCAGGGTGGGGGGCATTCCGTCTCTACTGTGTCTGTCTTCCCTTCCCCAGGGCTCCCCTTCCAGGCAAGGGGCCATGCATGTCTGGGGGACCCCAGCCCCCAAAACCCTTCGTCTTTCTGTCTGTCTCTTTGCTGTTTGTCCAAGACGGTGTCCCGACCCTCGTTCTCTCTATGAATGTCAACAGACCAATCCTCTGTACTCCCCCAGACACACACACACACACACCTGTGTCTACCCTTTCTGTTCAACACACCCTGCGTCTGGCCGATTCCCCCACAGCTGCTGCTACCAGCACCAGAATAAACACACACCGTGGGTCTCACTCGACCCAGGGCTCCTGTTCTCTCTGGGACTGGGAAGCTGGGCTGGACCATCCTGGCTCTGGATTCAGACAAATTTTTCATTCACTGGCTGGGTGACCTCGGGCAACTTAATTGATCTCTCGGAGCCTTAGTTTGTAAATGCTACATTTGCCAGGGCCGCTATGATCATAGGATGCAAAATGAACCCCAAACTATTGTAAGCCACAAACAAAACTGAAAGACCTTTGTACATGGTAAGTCTGAGCATACAGGAGGACTTCAGGCATGGTTGGATCAAGGTGTTCAAGGGACTCTGCCTAGCTCCTTAGGACTTCATTCTCACGCAAGTCTTTGCAATGGTAGTAAGATGGCCATTTGGAGCTCCAGGCTTATATTGCTGTATCTGTTACGATGGTTTCAGCTACATAAAACAGAATTCCAACAGAAAGAGCTGAAATGATAGAGATTTCTTTTGCTCACGTAAGAAATGTTTCAAAGACACAGAGTCCCAGTGTTAGTTCAGCTGCTCGACAACGTCAGGCACTGGGTTGGCATCTCTGAGATTCATTTTGCCTTCCCCTCATTAGTACAAACTGCAGCAACACCATGCCTTATGTTCTTACACGGTGGCGTCTAAAGTAGGAAATGTATACAGGGGCCGCTCCTCATGTGTTTCTCCCTAGAAGTGTTCTCCTTATTTCTCACTTACCAGAACTGGGTTCAGTGGCCACCCTGAGTTGCAGAGCAGTCTGGGAAAGTGACCGTCTTTGTGGGTTTTGCCAGTGAAGCAGCACAAAGAGGGGGATGATCGTTGGGTAGGAAATTAACAGGACCTACTGTAATCATCCTCAGGGCAGATAATTTCAGAGGAAACAAAATTTGGGGTTCCCTCTCTCTCTGCCTCCATATCATTCAGGAAAAGGATTCTGATTGGTCCTGTCAGGGCCTTGGATGACCACTTCAGGCCAATCATATATCCAGTTGGCAAGCTTGCGCTTGGCACCTCCTCCCAGGATGGAGTCCTCCTCCCCTGCCCATCTCACTGGGATTGGCTCAGACCCCCTTGGGACCTCATCCCTTCCTGCCCAGCTGTGAATTCATCTCCTGAAGTCATAAGCCTCTTTAGTAGAGAGCATAGGGATCCCTCGATCAACCCCAATGGAATCACATGGCAGTGGGCAGGGTATAGTCCTCCAAAGTAGTAGATGTCCACTGCATTCCATGCTTGGCTCTTCGGCATTAATTCACACCCACGTGCTCATATACACAGTCTCAAAAATGGTACAACCACTATATTAGTTTGCTATGGCTGCTGTCATGAATTACCACAAACTGGCCAGAAGTGATTCTCTCAAAGTTCTGGAGACCAGAAGTCTGAAATCAAGGTGTCAGCAGAGTTGTTTCTCCTGGGGCTCTGGGATCTTGTCCCATGCCTCTCTCTGAGCTCCTGGATGCTGCTGGCAATCCTTGGCGTTCCTGAGCTTGTAGATGCATCCCTCCAGTCTCTGCCTCCATCTCCACCTTGTGCCCACTGTGTCTCTGGGTCTTAACTCTCCCTTTGCCTTTCTCTCTCTCTCTTTTTAATTTTTTAATTTTTTTAAGATTTTATTTATTTATTTGACAGAGAGAGAGAGATAGCGAGAGCAGGAACACAAACAGGGGGAAAGGGAGAGGGAGAAGCAGGCTTCCCGCTGAGCAGGGAGCCCAATGTGGGGCTCGATCCCAGGATCCTGGGATCATGACCCGAGCAGAAGGCGGACGCTTAACGACTGAGCCACCCAGGCGCCCCTCTCTCTCTTTTTTTAGAGCACATATAGCATTGATTTTTTTTTTCATTGAACTCCAACAAGGGGTACATTTATTCTCTTTTCTCAAGGAGTGAGGAGCACTTTTCAAACCCTATAAATGTCAAGGTTATAAAGATACAATCCCATTTGTAAAGTTCTTCCAAAGATAAATAGGGCAGCCTATTAGCATGCACAAGAATTGCAAGTTAATTTTAACCTAATAAATATCCTGAAAATTCCCAGAAGGAATTTGCCAAAATTCCTTGCCAAAGAAACTTCTTTAAATTAATGTCACACTCTACCGGTTTCTTGGGCATGCTGTTAGCTTGCTTTTCTTGCAATCTGTGATCTTTCCACTACCTTCTGCAAGAGTTCATCTGGTACCCAAGTGAGCTCCGTAGTCAGACGGCCACGTTTCAAATTCCTCCTCCACACATATTAGTTCTGGGACTTTGGGCAAAGTGTAGAACATCTCAGTGCCTCGATTTCTTTCTTCTTTTTAAAATATTTTATTTATTTGTTTGTTTGTTTGTCAGAAAGAGAGAGCACAAGCAGGGGGAGCAGCAGAGGCAGAGGGAGAGGCAGGCTCCCCGCGGAGCAAGGAGCCTGACATGGGACTCGATCCCAGGACCCCGGGATCATGACCCAAGCCGAAGGCAGACACTTAAGCAACTGAGCCACCCAGGCGTCCCAATGCCTCAGTTTCTTTAACTGTAAGATGACAGTGATAATGCCTACTTCACAAGAATGTTACGCAGATTAAATGAAAGAATGCACATGAAACACTTAGCAAGTACTTGGTGTATAGTAACATGACTCGAATGGTAGCTATTAATATTGATAATAATAATGATGATGATAATTGCTAATAATTATCATATATTAGAATATATTTTGGCATTAGGAATCTTCATAATCATTTGAATATTGACTGACTTAATATATAAGTGTCAGCTGTTCCAGAAGACAGTAAGATGTTTCAGTGCAGGAAAACGTAAACAGGACAATTTTTTTCACCAGTTTACTTTGAACAGACATAACTTGGTTTTAATTGTTCCTGTGTCTTTTTTTTCCTGCCTTTCTCTTTTTTTATTATTATTTTTTCTTTTTTAAATTTTATTTTATTATGTTATGTTAGTCACCATACATTACATCATTAGTTTTTGATGTAGTGTTCCATGATTCCTTGTTTGTGTATAACACCCAGTGCTCCATTCAGTACGTGCCCTCCTTAATACCCATCACCGGGCTAACCTATCCCCCCATCCCCCTCCCCTCTAAAACCCTCAGTTTGTTTCTCAGAGTCCATAATCTCTCATGGTTCGTCTCCTCCTGCCTTTCTCTTAAAAGAACACCAATCATTGGGGTTAGGGAATCACTCTTAATTCAGGATGATCTCATCTGGAAATCCTTGACTTAACCTGATCTGTAAAGATCCTTTTTCCAAATAAGGTCATGTTCACAGGTTCTGGGGGATTAGGACATGGACATTGTCTTTTGGGGGCCATCATTCCATCCACTACAACCACCTTGAAGAACAATTTATCAGTTTCTTACAAAGTCAACACAAACTTACCATGTGACTCAGAAATCCCATTCCTATTTAACCATGAGAAATAAAAGCATATGTCCCTGCAAATATTCACAGCAACGTTATTCATAATAGCCCCAATTTGGAAAACTGGATATAACTGAAATGTCCATCTATGGGAATGGATAAACAAATTGTATGTCCACAAGATGGACAACTACTCAGCAATAGAAAGAACTACCTACTGATATGTGTAGTAGATAAAGGTAAATCTCAAAAACAGTATGTCTTGTGAAAAAAGCCAGACACAAAAGAGTACAAACAGCATGATTCCATTTCTGTGAAATTGTAGACAATGGAACACTAATCTATAGGGACAGAAATCGATCGGG